TTCCCCATGTGTGTTATATTTTGATTTGTAAAATGAGCATCCTGAAAGCAGGGGAGTGTTTGACAAAGATTACTGGAAACTTTCTGGACGTGCATAATTGTAGGGGAGTGTGAAACGTGAAATGAGATAACCTTGGGAAATGAGCTGTTTCACCTGGCTTGAATTTTCAAAAACAGTCCAATTCCATGAGGAACATGAAAGATTTTGTGGCGTGTTTCCCCCTCAACAGTCTATAACAAGGTTTCCCTAGTAAAGGTAAAAATGGTCAAGTGAGTACAAGATCATGCTCACTCAAACACATGTTCTTTTGTGAGAGAGATTACTGAATTTTTCAGAAACCTGAGTGATAGAAAACAATTTTCAGCAAAAAGGCATGCAGTTTGAAATGTGTGCTTCTTACACCCCTTGAATTTCAGGTTCTGAGAGTTCCAGAAAAGTTGTGCTATAACCACGACGGGCATTAGCCAGTACTGTTACAAACATTACATATGAAATATTGTAGGTCTCAAGATAGTGACTTGCAGTAATGGCCTTAAGTGAGTAGTGAGATGCCTTTCATTTCTTCAGGGTGTGGAGTATTAGAGATCTCTTAAGCTACAATGTTCTAATGCAATTAACAGCACATTCTCATTGTCTTTCACAGGATTTTGGTTCCTAAGTTGCTTAAGGACTTTCCTTCGCCTTAAGATGCACTGAGTGCCCCTTGTTCTGTTTTAAATTCTTCTGCTCTGATGTAGAAGAGCCCACCAGCTTATATGACTGTGTAGGGTATGTGAGAACCCAGATCCCACCTCTCATACTCACCATGAGGAGCTATGTGGTCTCTATATGGAATCATTGAAATCAATGGAGCTCCAGCATTGTATTGCTGGAAGTGCCTTAGCAGAATGGCCTTTTGGATGAATGAAATGAGAGGGTTATATCTAGCCAAACTGCTGATGATATTTCTACAAACTTAGGACATGCATATGAGGAGGCTGCTTCTTCTCTAGAGGTCATGTATCTAAACAGAAACATGCAATTTGCTGTATTGGGTCTGCTTTTCAGAGTCTCTTGTCCAGTCCCTGCCTCCAACAGGTATGACAGTGGCTGTTGGGGCTGTTATCAAAGCTGGTCCCTTTTTCAGTCTTGACATGTCTATATGAGTGAGGCCAGAAAATGGGCCAGACTTACCTACACATCTTTGTGCCATACCTGTTGTTGTAGCTGTGACTAATACCTCTGCTTGAGAGAGAAGGCAAACTAGTAAGCATATATACCACATGTCAACCAGACAATTATTCAACACTTCTAGATGCTTTGTGTATATTCCTTTGTTGGGGTAATACAGAGATAGTTTCTCTGTCACTGCCTTTGTAAGGCCACTTTTGCTGTGTGTATGCAGTGTGGTACATGTGCATCTCTTGGCCTCTGTGTTTATGTTCCTCTCTGTGTCTCCATCTCACTGTTTAACTTTTAAGTTCTGTTTGCTCACTTTGCTAGTCAAAACAGGGTTTTGTTTTCCTTTGTTGGGATGTGCAGGGTTAGTGAAAGTAGTTAAGAGAAGAAAGCTGTCCTCTCCTCTACATCAACACCTTCACTGCCAACAATAATTATATTCTAGACATGGAGTTTTTCTCTTATCTGCGGATGCATGGAGAGGGGGTGGTTGTTTTAGAGATGAGATATGCCAGTGATAGACGATTTCTGGATTTTCTCAAATGCTAGATGTTATCCCAGGAGATTAGGGAAGGGATTTGTCTACAGATCTAAGGGCAGCTGCCCATTCAGCACGTGGCCTGTATCTACCACCCGCCCTGTAGGCTGTTTTTACACATTGGCTTCATTTTTCAGGCAAGAATTGCCCTTTAATTCCCAAAGTGTTTGTTCTGCTCTGCTAAGAAATTAAAGATTACATTTAAAGAAACAGAAATGCATTTGCTAGGTTGGCCCAGTAATTGCAATGGTGTGAGAAGAACCCAGATGAAGGCACCACATAAAATGTTCTCAGCAGACCTCAAATTATCTTGAACTTAGTTCTACAGTTTATAAACCTGAGCTGATGCTTGTGAAAGTTTAGCCAGCACAGGCTGATGTGGCTAGCAGGGATTCCCTGGCAAAACAGGGAGCTTTTCTCTCTCAGGGAATCTGTCTCCCTTGTTCCTTGAACAACTATCCTCTTCCTTTAACCTATCCTAGACCATGTGACCAGTGGGATGTTTTAGGTACAAAGATAGGTAGTTAGATGCATGATTCCTAGTCGCAAAGACCTTAGATCATTCAGATGATATTTCCTCCTGGAGATCCAGACATTTTCAATAATATGCTTCACATGGTGCTACCTTTTTTCATCTACTGACCTTAGGGCAAGCTGTGATCATAAAATCTGTTGTCTTTGTTTCAAGGAGCTTAGGTAGCAGCTTTGCCTACCACCCTTTTCATTATAAGATTAATTTTGTTTTGCCCTTCACCACTAAAAATTTATGGAGTAGGCTGCATAGCAGACCATATTGAATAATGCAGAGCTTTGCTGATTACCAAAACAGAGTTGAAACTCTTTGTGATGAAGATGTGTTGTATGTGAGGTAAAAAGAAATCAAGCCTGCTTTCTTAGACATGTTTTCTTATCCTTAACAGGTCCTCAAATTATGGGGAACTTTGGGTCTAGCTGTGTGTCCCGTAATGATAAACAGTTAATAATATGCATTCTGTCTTGTGTTAGGCTATCCAGTATTACCCCTTGTACAAGGATTTGTGAGGAGTCTGTTTTCCAGCATGGAAATCTCTCTCAGAACGATGTCCTCTTTGGACTCCCAGTGAGAAAGTAGGAGTTTTCCTTCCACCCCCCCACCTTTTCCTTCTGTGTGCATCATGCTGAACATTCATGAGTGACGTTCTCAGACAAACCTGATCAAAACAGGTGCCTATATGACAGACATTGGGTCATGTTTCCAATGTTTGGTGCTTTAACTGAGCGCTATGGAAGACTCCCTCAAGCAAGTATCTCCACTGACTTGTCTCATTCCATTAAAAACAATTGATAAATGTGTATTTTTTTTATTTTATTGATGGGTTAGAGGGGCTTGCAAAAGCATTACTTTTTTCTGTTGCTGTGCTTGCAAGATTCCCCTTACTCCTGTCCCAAACACTTCTGCAAGCTTTTTTCTCTGGGCTGTCCATGGGCAGATCTGGGATTTTGAAAAGTGGGGTGCAGGTGTTGTGGTACATTATCCCATACAACACAACCCATATTTTTATCCAGGTAAAAAGAAACTAGAAGCTTTGCTAGGGGCCTAGAGCTATATTGTTCAGTTTAAGATTAAAGAAAAAAACTATGTAACTTTATTGGAATGAGTTAAAAACAGTTGGCAGGGCTATAAAATAGAAGCCACATTACCGGGAGCATCTAACAGACAGCAGAATTGCAAAACAAAGCATAGTTTGATTAGTGGACTATCAAGACTGTTAAAAAGAGAGAGGGTCCTTAACACCTGTGAAATGAGTTTAAAACAGGGGTGGGCAATTATTGGAGTTTTGGTGAGTTGTTGCAGGGCAGACAACTGATCTCATCTGCCCCCCACCCACTGCCAGGGGGCACTGGATGGAGTGGGCTGGCGGGTAGCGGGGTCTCCGTGGAGACCAGCATGGGACCCCTGAGGTCAGGGCCTGCTTGGCCAGGCAGGTAGGATGGGGCTGTGGGAAGGCCCCCATGAGTGGTGTCCAGGACTGGGATGGGCAATCAAGGCCGGGATCACAGTGTGACGACAGCCCGGGGCCGGGCCCTGTAGCGGAGCTGTAATCCACTCCCCACATGTACCTTTGATGTGCCGGATCTGCAGACAGGGATGTGCAGCGAGTGGATCACAGCTGTGCTCTGGGGCCTGGCCCCACAGTGTTACCACCCTGCTATCCCAGCCCCCGCCCTCCTGTCCCACTCTCAGACACCACTCCTTGCCTGCCTGCAGCCCCATCCCATCCAACCGTCCAAGCACACCTGGCCCACGGGGGTCCCAGGCTGGTCTCCATGGAGACCCCAACTGCCCCATCCAGCACCCCTGGAGGTGGGTGCACAGCAGACAGGCTGGGGTGCCCAGGCAGCAGGGCCAGGTCCAGCAGCAGTGGTGACACTGGCAGGGGCAACTGGAAGGAGGTGCTACCATGGGGCTACTGGGAGCACAGCCTAGCTGTTATGCTTACCCAGGCTCACCATGTGCCCAGGGTCAGTAGAACCAGCCGCATGCGCCAAGCCCTGAGCTGCTCCCTGTGCCTGGGCCAGGCAGGGCTGAGGGACCTGCCGTGGGCCGGACAGAATCCCTTGGCAGGCTGGATCTGGCCCGTAGGCCATATTTTGCCCTGGTTTAAAAGGAATCAGCTAAATTTTAATAAGCCATGTAGTCAAGTGACTCCCTCAGCTAGGGTGGCCATCACAGAGGACACTCCAGTTTTCTGCTACTCTGTCCTCTGTTGATACGAAATCGGGCACCTTCAAGAGAAAAATAGAGGACATAAAGGTGCCAGATTTTGTATCAATAGAAGACAACCGGACTGTCCTCTGTGATGGTCACCCTACCCTCAGCATTGCCTGAATAGAAACGTTGCTGCCACTGCCACGCAGTTGGTTTTAAACACTAGGTGGAGGAGGAATCAAAGTGGGGTGCAACTGCACTAGTGCACCCCCCTTCCTCCCCCGGATGTGTCCTGGGGCTGTCCTTACTCTCAGCCCATCCATGCTTTGAAAGCTAAACTTATTTTTAATGGTTCTGTAATTGAATGCAAAACGATGTGCCACCTGCCTCTCTCTGGGCCTTCATTAACTGCTACTTACTCTCATTGTGCAAGGATTTTATACTGCCCATCAGAGATGAATGTAAGGGACTATTCCATATTCACATTTTTCACCATCGTCAGCAGAAAACTATGACATAGAAGGAGGTGATTCTTCCTTCTACTGCAGCACTTTTTAAAGGGCTAATCTGTTGTACAATAAAGAGCTAATGTTTGTTTTTTTCCTCTTTCTTTAGTTTTCTCAGCTAATTAAAATCTTCAACTCGTTGGGTCCTGAGAAGTTCCCACTTGTGGACCAAACATTCTTCCCAAGCCATAAGCAGATGGTGAGTGCCTCATGTTTATTTTGATAATGGCATAGTTGTGGGGGGGGAAAGCAGAGAATGTGTTGGAAGTGAAAGGAGTCATTCTGGGAGTCCTGGGAATTTATACAATACCCTTGACTTTGTAGCCAAGAAATCACTGAGAGAAGAGCCACAGGTATATAATAAGGCTGTGCGAAGCTTTGGTCCCTGATTTGATTTGGCGGAGATTCGGCCTGATTCAGTGGCTAAATCTCTGAATCTGAATCAAATCAGAAGACCCTTTAATCTCTCTGAATTGAATCAGAACCTTCGAATCGATGCGGAGAAATTCAGAAAGATTCGGTGATTCGGACATAGAGACAGCTTTAAATGTTTTTTCTACATACCTCTAGGTACCAGGAGGCTCATAAACATTGCGATGCTGGGGCACGTGGAGTGTCCCACAAGCGTGGGGGGCTCCCCGGCGTGCTCGGCAGCAGAACTGAAAGTGGACCAGCAGCACTTCTGATCCACTGGGGAGCACATGGGGGGGGGGGGGCCCCCCCCCCCCCCCGCCCCCCCCCGGGGGCAAAAGGGGGGGGGGGCCCCCCCCCCCCCCCGCCCCCCCCCGGGGGCAAAAGGGGGGGGGGGCCCCCCCCCCCCCCCGCCCCCCCCCGGGGGCAAAAGGGGGGGGGGGCCCCCCCCCCCTTTTGCCCCCGGGGGGGGGCAGGGGGGGGGGGGGGCCACACCCCTCTGGGTCAGCAACTGGTGCCTCCTGGGTCTGGGGGGGCCTGGGAGTCTGTCTGGGCTGATCGCTGAGTGGGGGCAGTGCAGGGAGACCCCGTGCACACTCCCCAGTGGACCCAGAAGTGGACCAGAAGTGCTTCTAATCCACTTCCAGGTTCACCACCAAGCACATGGAGGACCTTCCCACGCTGCTGTGGGATGCTCCATCTGTCCTAGTATTGCAGCATTCATGAGCTGCACCTGGTACCTTGAGGTACGTAGAAAAAAATGTTAAAGCTGTGTTTATGTCCAAATTACTGATTCTCCAAATCAGCATTGAATCGGGGACAGGGACCCAAATCAACGAATCAAATCACTGTTCCCGATTCCAGCCAAATCCAAATAGATTAGGGCCAATTTCACACACCCCTAGTATATAATACACTGTTCAGGAGGCCCCTTTTCTTTCCCACTGAGAAGGTGGGAAGGTAGGAAAGAAACAAAAATAAAATAAAATTTCTGTGTATAGAGGCTTGTTCTCTAATGCAAGGAATACGCTCATTTGGATGAGATTAAGTTGAGTCTTTGCCCTGTCATTGTTTATGATGCATGGAAGATTAGGGCTGCAATATATTACACAAGTTTGTTATATAAGAACTCTGCTATTTGTTTGCCTCATCTGTGGCATAGTAACTATCTAATAAACAAACTTACCACCCCTAGCATTGTTAGGTGAAGTTGGTTTGACTTCTTGAACGTGAGCTCTTATTTTCTTTGGTTTCTATCATTTGTTTTTGCATAATTGTTCTTGGTGTTTATTATCCGCTCAATGTCTCAGCACATATTATGCCTTAGACTCGCACAGTTATTAAACATGCTGTAGGCTCCTTAAGGACAACTGCTTCTTCAGAGCCTTGCACACATGTCTCCCATGGCAGGGAAAAGAGATGGGTGCTTTTACACTAATTAGCTGTATTTCTCTGGGCTTTACCTTATAAGCAAACCTGATCCCATGCAAAGAAGGCTCCTAGTGGGGCCTTTTGATAAGTTTTTTACTCTCAGCATGCACCTATATCCCCCCCATATCCCAGTGACTCCTGCTTCTCTCAAAGGCCTGCATGGTCGTTTCTGTTTATTAACCATAGCCCCGTGTTTGAATACCATGTGCTCTTCAGTTTGTTTCCCTGGGCTTATTCTGCATTCTGAAGCAAGGTCAGTGGGATGGTCAGCCAGTGGGCTTAAGATGTATTTGGAAGCTAATCTGTGGCTCTGGAGGCCTGAGCGCAAGTTCCTGTTCTGCTACATCCTATCTTGGAGCATGTTGGGTAGGGCCAGACTCTGGATGACATATGTAGGTGGGCACTGGTGGGGTTTTTTGGAAGAAGCTAAAAAAAATCCCTGGATGCTTCTGAAAATCCTGTTAAATGATGATCTGCATCATAAGACTTAACTACGTTTAAAAATATGACCTGCAGGCTGTCTTTGCTTCTATTTTCTTATCTGTAACAAGGGGCTAATAGTACTTCTGTGCCTCATGGGGTGTTGTGAAGAAGTACAGTGAGGACTTAAGGTGGTCAGAGGCTGCTGTGATGGGGTTATATAATTCACTGGGAAAGAAGGGTAAATGGATGCGCTTTTTACCCGGAACTCCAGTTTGTATTAGTTTGTCACATCATGTTTGTTTGTAGTTGTCCATTTAATCAAAGGGCGGAAAATTCATAAGGGAGATGCTTTGCTACCTGGGTCACTACAAAACAGTGGTCAATTTGCCTTGTCCTCCCCTTCAAGTGCTACAATTTGAGCAGAGCTGGTCAAAATCTTTGTTGCATATAAATTAGCTAACAAATTTAGCCTTTTTTCTGTTTGGAAAACATTTGCTGATACTTTAGGCAAGTATATTTATTGCTCATGGAATTGTTTGGATTAAAAATGACCAACCCGCAGGTTTTTCATGATTTATTTTCACGTATAGTATTTGGTTGCTCACTTAATTGCACCTCACATTGTGCTAGTTCTTGGAAAGAATGATGGAACCTTTGGGAACAGGGCAATAATAAAGTGCAAATAATTAATAGCAAAAAGTCTTCCTTGTAGTTAAATGTGGGCGCGGATTCCTAAGCCTCTTGCTTATGCTGAGTGTAACCTTGAGCAAGGCATTCACTCATATGCATCAGTCTCCTCAAATATAAAATGGGAATAATTTGTTCCTCACCCCTGTTTAAATCTGGGAGTTCTGAAGCTAAACCTGTTGTGGTTTAAGTCTTGAGATCCGTAGTTGATGGACACTATCAAATAGCTATAAGGGTACACTTAAGCTCAGCCTGTTCTGTAGAGAAATTTCATCTTTCTGGACGTTTTTACGTGTGATCTGGGAGGTGTGGGGGGCGCTTTAATTAGTGAGCCTGAATGTCGTGTATTAGCATCCACCATGCTGCCAAATGGCGGTGGGGTGCTTTGAACTAAAGCTCATCGAACAAGCTTTAGTTGAAAGTGCCTTGCTGCCATTTTTTGATGTGGGGACGCTAATACATGTGACACCAGAGTCTGCTGGAGCACGTTTATTTCTGATTAATCGAGGCTGCTCTGACACGCTGGATTCCTAGTGCATCAGAGCTGGCTCCCTGCATGTGTGTAGATGCCCTCTGTGTCCAAACTCTTCCACATCTTAATGAGATCTTACTTGGAAAATAATATGCATCAGGATTAGTAACAGAGCTGGTCAGAAAATCTCTCTCTCCTCCCATGCACAGACAGAAAGAAACACATACGTGCACACACGCACACCATTCCAACAAACTATTTTTTAATCAATAAAAAAGTCAATGCTATCCAAAGTTTTAGCATAATTTTTTATTTATTTTTGGCCTGAAAATCAAAATGTGGGTGCCTTTCTGTGAACATTTTTCTTTAGCTGAAAATTGAGTACCAGGTCTTGGAGGAAAATATTCAGCCCAACATAACTACTAATGTTACAGTGATATTACAGGGGCTGGGATAGTCATATTGGAAATATTAATTTTTACCTTTTGTCTTCAGGCAGCCAAATTATGTGCTTCAAACAATTCTACATTAAGCAATTTTTAAGCTGCACATAGAACCTCAGCTTAAATGTTCTTGAAGAGTGGTATCAGTGCTATATATTATATATAGGGTATGTATTGCTCTGTAATGACCTCATATGGTCAATTAAAGATCTGGAAACACAATCTGCAAGGACATCTTCCAGGTTTTGGACTGGTAACCCTAACAGGTCCTCAAGAGAGATTACTCTTGAGGAAGGCCTCAGGTGCAGAAGAAAAGCTGCTTGTGGTTTAATTTCTGGATAGGGTCTAATGAAAAAACAGCATCCTTTGGGCACGAACAAATACAGACCCAGATCCAGTCATGTTTGATAGAGACTAACACAAGTGAGACGGAGACAGAGTGTGATAGAAATAAAACCACTTTACTGTTTAGAATAAAAGGACACTATAAAAAGTGAACATTATGCAACATTACCTTAAAAGACAATATACATTCACTGAATACAAAATTTATAAATAACAAGGAGGAAAACTGTAAACAGTGCTACAAAATTTAGCAACAAATACATTCCTTCGGGACAAGATTTTTCTCCTGGGCTTGGCTTCCCTCCCCCCTGCAACTATTAAGTACAGCAGAATGGCCCTATAAAGGAAGGAGTGTAAGGGACAGCAAAGAGCAAAAGCAGTAGAATAGAATTAGTGGTTTTTAAGAGGATTTTGTTAAGGCTGATATATCCCAAACTGACTTGCTTTTAAAAAATAATTTGTTTGCACAGTCCTTTAAATGTTGCTCCTCCCTCAGAAAACCCAAAGGAATCAGATATAAAACACTTTACTTTTGAAGCATGTAAAAAAATATACCTGGAGGCCCTATGAAACTTGTTCCTTTTACTGGGATTACATTTTAGGAGGTGCTATTATAAATTAGAGTGATGTGTTCATAGTACCCTGAAGTCGCATTTTGAAGCACTTGATGAGACTGGAGTGGAGATGCAGTGGTTGGCATTTAGTTTAATCCTATTTAAAGGATCATGTTTGACCTTCCAAAATTAGAGAAGTTTGGTTCCAAAATTGTTTTTGGCTCTAAAACAGCAGAACCCCATTGGAGCCTATGGGAGTCCACCCAGGACATTTTACATTTAGATATGCCCTTCTACTGTTTTTACTTTAAGGGAAAAAAAGTCATTCCTCTCCAGGGTGAATATGTGCTTGCAATTTTTGAAACTCTAAAGGACATCATTTTTAAGCAAATAAAGAGCCCTCAAATCAAAACCCAAACATTACAGTCTTACG